TAATATTTGACTCGCATGAAACTCACGCTATGGAAAGCATTAAAAAAATTTTTGCCAATAGACGAGTGGTAAAATTGATTTCTTCGTATATTTGCACAAGCTTGTGTCTTGTTCCCATCCAACGTTTCCGTTCAGACTGCTCACTTGCATCATATCCTTAAGAGGGCGCAACAATCAAGGGATAGGTCTTTCTCTTCGCCTCAAACGGTCGTTCCGTTGAAAGATGTGGAATCCTCAAGGGCTCGCGCGGACGAACAAGATGACAGACAAATTGAAATAATAGATTTGGACAGAGAAACTACGCCTGTTACTACAAGACAGAAACCCGCATCATTACGAGTGCATCATGTTATCAATGAATACGATAAAACGCCACCGTTAGACCTATCGTTAAACGAGACTGCCGTTCAAATCGATTATAACGCTGATCGTCGTTACTCCTTCCCTCCATCAAAGCAGCGAACAAAGTCTTTAAATCCATACGCTTCCAAACAGAGGTCGAGACCAGATGATAAGCCTTACGATTCCATTGTTGAAAAAAGAAGTTCATTTGACGTGACCTCGACGAACTTGAGGCTGGAAAAGAGTAATGCTAATTTAAGTATGCAATTCCTAACCAAAAACAAGGATTCCAACAATTCAATAATAAAAGATAAACATAATGGACATGATGACAAATATCCTGAGAAACAAAAAGATGCAAAAGAAGCACAAGCCACAATCTTTAACCTGAATCCGTTATCAAATACATCGGGGAATAAAGAAGTTCTGTCATGTGAACGAGGATCGGTCAACTATGGTCAGAATATTCAATTAAGAAATCTAACATAACGTGTAAGATCGATTATTTCTAGTTTACGTAAAGAGATGACAACAAATTGAATTTATACCAATAAAGGTATCACCTCTCTTGGGAGGGATAAACGAAAAAATCAAGATCCTGGTAATAACGAACAAGATCCGAGAAAGGATAACACTAATGGTCGAGTAATTAAGAAAGGCCGAAAGAGTTTGTCGACGGTATATTCGTAGAATTATATACGTAATCGCGCCAGTTTACATTCGGTGTTAAATATTTCTTGGTTGAATTTAAGGCCAAAGATGACGCAAGCGCGGTGATGAGCGATGAAGAGTTTTGGAATCCACGGAACTCATTGATCGAAGCAGATGAAGGTGTTAACATATTACAACGGCTTAGACCCAATTATCGTCAGTATCATATCCCATAGACATTAGTTCGTACATAATATCTATAAAATATTCATTTTATTTATTTTTTTTACAGATAGAAATTTAGTCGCTGGAAAAAATGGAAAACGTGGTAATTTCGATTGATTGGTAATGTATTCGTTACATCAAAGAAATAATTTTGATTTTCTACGTAATAGGTTCCTTTGTGGAAAGGTTGCGTGCGTTAGAAAACTCTTTGGAGAGTGATGAGGAAAACCAAAAGTCAAATGGTAATCTTTTTCATATTGTCAAAATGTTCTTGCAAGGCTCACGAAAGATTATATCTTACTTTTCGAAGGAAATTATATCCTTTGCTCAAGAGAAAGTTCACCGGTCATTAGCGATGTCGTTGAAACTGTGCCAATAAAAACCTCTGGAAAAATGAAGGTTCACAAAGGACGAGAAAATGAGGGCCCGACCACCGATGAAGATGATATTGGAGAGGATTTGATTCCGTCTGATGATTTTGTTCGCGAAAGAGAAGAGACTCGTAGATTTGCAAGCGAAAGTTTGGATGAAGAAATAAGGAGCCTGTTAAAACTCGTCGGCGAGGTGAGGGTGTTGTGCGAGAGGCATTAGCTTTTAAAAAAAATTGTAATCGATCTATTAACATTAGTAATCGTTCCTTTAGACAATCTTTAGACAATTTCAGCGTCAAGACTCCGCCTTATTTCAAGCAACCGAGAATGTAATAATTAAGAGTGAGATGCATCTGACCAAAAGTTTAAGAAGTCAGTTCGGACGCAAGTATGATGTGATCTTCTACACCAAATATTAAATTTCTTAATGTGTTATTAATCATCTACATCGTTCAATTTAACCATCGACGAAAATGTAGAAGGGAATGGCTAAATACATTCAAATGCAATTGTACATCGGAAGAATCTGAATCTCGACAAATAATGAACAAACTAAGGGAAGAAAGAGGTGAATTGGAAAATTTGCAACAAACATTAATTGAGATGGAAAATATGGAATTAGAAGTTGGACGAAATTAGACAAAGATGTTTCATGACCTTTATAGCATACTATTTATTCTCGCAAGCCGTATCATGTCAGATTATATTCGCGTGAAAGAATAAATACTAGATGCGATTTTATTAAATAAAATAATATTATTAAGGAATATATACAAAATACAATACAGTACAGTACAAAGTTGTAAGAATACAGATCAATAATCTAATGCCGAATTTACACTTAGTGCAATTATATAAATACAAGTAGACAAAACTATGATCATAAATAATTACAAGAAACAAAAAAGAATGTGAATTCATCCCTTTGGGCAACTTGGAAAGCTTTAAATTGTTTAATGCTTTTTTCCTATTAACACCCGTACAACACTTCTTGTACCGACAGTGAAGCGTGTCTATATTGCTCGGTCGCTTGATCCAATTGGATTTTCAGGGTGAACACCTGTTTATCGAGTTCAGCGTTTTCTTGTTTTATACCGTGTAATTGCCGTTTCGACGACTCCAATAATTTTTGATTTTCGGAAAGCGACTTTTCTAGTGACGCTATTACTCTCGATTTTTCATTTTCCCTTTCTTCTATTTCAGCCGTCATTTTATGCATGTCGTTGGAATAATTTTCTTGTTTCTTTACCTCTTCTTCGAGTGAAACTTTCAATTCCATTATGCGTTTCTGTTGTTCGTGCGAAAGTTTTTCAATTTCTGCAAGTCTCTCGGCCGTTGAATTAAAATCTTCTTTTAATTTCTTATGCTCTTGTTGGAGGTTGTTATGATGATCTTCCAGCTCTAGCTTGATTTTACATTGTTCTCCTTTTTCATTTTCTAGTTGGACCATCTTGCCCTCTAATTCCATGATCGTCTGCTGAC